AAATTTCTAAGTTAAAAATTGAAAAGGATGAATTACTTGAATTGAATAAACAACACCTAGAAACAATTCAAAATTTACATAACTTTCATTCTAAGCTATCTATGCATCAAAAAACCTTAAATGAAAAACTAATTCAACCCAGTGTTAAAAAATTATTTCAAACAGAAAAGGAAATTTACTATCTTGAAAAACTAGTAGAAAATTTAACACAAGATATTACTACTGATACTATTCAAACAATCACAGAATCATAATCTGGAGTTTTTGATAAAGCAATAATAGGATTCAAAACTTCTCAAAATCAAGCATTATATAAGAGTTTCTTTCTTCCTCATCTAAGAAAAGAAAAGAAATGCTCCTTTTGTAAGAAACTTGGTCACCCAGAAGAAAATGTTTTCTAAAAATTGAAAACCCGACTCTAAACAAAAGATGCTCTTATTGTAAGAAAACAAATCATCTTGAATCAAATTGTTATTTTAAAAAAGAAAAAAGATTTTTTTCTAAACTCATGAAAACTACAAATAAAAAGAAAAACATTATTGTAACTAACCTCAAAAGACCCACATCACTGTGGGTACCTAAGAAACTCTTCTTGGTTGATGCAGGAATGCCTTCTAACAATCAAGAAAAATCTATGGTACTTGAACAATGGTTTCTCAAGACATATGACAGGAGATAAAGAGTGCTTCACCTACGTGACCTACTTGATAGGAGATAAAAGCCATGGTACTTCACCTACTTAAAATAAAAAGATGGAGGCTCTATAACTTTTAGAAATAATGAGAAAGCTAAAATAAAAGGTATTGGAACCATTGGTAAGAATGGTTCCTCTTTAATAAAAAATATTCAGTACGTTGAAGGACTGAAACATAGTTTTCTAAGCATCAATCAATTATGTGACAATGGTTACTGTTGAATGTGGTAAAGCGACAAGCAAAAAGTAAAGTATTATTTTACCGGGTGATATAGGTTATATCGTATCGTGTCCACGGAGATTGGTGAATTAAAATGCCGGTTGACAAATCTCTTGTTAATGAGTTTGGGGTTAAAGTGCTTGAAAGTAAAAGTATCAACAGAAAATAAATGTATAAAAAGGAAAAATGAATAACTTATCAAGCATGCGTATATACTACTTCTCACAGACTTAAACCTATCGACCTGTTATATTAAACCTACAATATTCATCAATGTCATCACGTGTCACTCACAACCTAAGTCATTTCTAATCCAAATTGAGAGGCCAAATTCATCACCACGGTAGCGATCTCTCAACCACCTCAATAACACAGAAGTCAATTGTGCTCGCTTGCATCGACGATCTCTCAGAGCGATACAGAAAACACAAAAACATTAATCACAGACACCCTAAGTGAATAACAACGCTAAATCTATCTCTAGAATTCAAACACTGTTAGATAATCATCCTAGATAAGAATTCAAGCAGTATATATCTATAACAACTCAAATCCCTAGCACAGAGCAAAAATCAAGGATAACAATCAACAAAGATTTGTAAAGCAAGTTTTATATAATGCCAAGGGCGGAAAATATACATGAGTTCAAAGAATATATACATACAATATCCAACAAAAGAGAAATACAAAGAGAGGAGAAGAGATAAACCACAAATATTCCGGTTTGTCAGCGCCGATCAATGAGAAATCCACCTCCAATTATCCATAAGCAAAGCCCTAGTGTTGTTTCCTAAGTTAATCTAACAAAATTGAAGGTTGATGGAGTTGGAAGCAAAAACTTCCCCAAAACCATAACCTAAAAATGAAGTAATTTTTTTTTTATAAAACTCATCTCAGCAGACCGCGCTAAGAGAGCTCACCACGCTAAGTGGGCTGCGTGATATTTACACATTAACCCGACCTAAATCGCGCTAAGCGCGAAATCTGCACTAAGCGGGATTTAAAATGCTTCTGCCAAAATATCAAAATGCAAACAGCTCGCTACAAAATGTGTTGAGCGCACTCGCGCTTAGAGGCCTTCTGCGCGCTAAGCGGGTTCTCCTAAACAAAACTTCCCAAAACTGATCTTTTATTCCGAAAACGCACATTCGGAGTCGTGCCTTCGACACCTTATACCTCGATGCTCCAAAATTCAACAAATACCTACAAAATAAATGGAAAAACATTAAATAGTACACTATGTACATAAAAACACAAATAAATACAAGTCTTTTCTTTTCCCCACATTTCTCTACAAACTCTCAAGTCTTGTGTCTTTTTAAAAAAAATCTCTCACTATTTTCTTGTAAAAATATCACACTTCACAATGCTTCGCGTAATTATTTTTTCTCCTTCCAATGTCAACTCAGTCACCCTCTCTCCATCACCATCACCTCACTCGTGTCTCTCCTTCTCCTACATTAGAATACACACTTCCCTCTTTCTAAAAAAACTTCTAAACACACTCCTCGTCCTCTTCACCAAATACATCTATCTATCATGGAAAATCTCTAACTCGTTCATGTTCATGAACCTCTCAACACAACGTCTCCAACTCATCTCCCATCTCTCATTCACCTCCATCGAAACCGTGAAGAAATCCATGAACAAACTCCCTTCACTCTGATTCCACCAACCAAAACAAGAACCAAACATGCAACTCTCAGAACATCCAATGATCATTCTTCCTCTCAAAACTGAAAAAGCCCAAACTCATCAACAATTGAAAAACCAGACATGGTTGACCCACCCTTTGAGCTTCAAGACAACTCAGTCCTAGCAAATCCCACTGGCAAAGAACTCTTCAATAACAAATGGAGGTTCACCACCGTCACACCTGGAAAATATGTTGATTTGGATAGTTTAAAAACAAAGGGTTTCGACATTCAAGCTCTCACTGACGCTCTTGGATGGACCTCATTTCTATCCATTAATGTCGAGACTTGCTCAAGGTTAATCAAGAGTTTTTATGCTGCAAAGACCACCGAAAACACCATCAAAGCCACCATCAGAGGTATTAGTATCACCCTTACTTTTGAATTGATATCCCACATCTTTGACTTACCAATTAATGGCTCATCCCTTTACTCAGACAACTGGTACCAACATGGAAATATTACTCTAGATGACCTAAAAAAACTCATCACAAAAAACACTAAGAAAACTCTGTGTCTTTAAATCTGGAACCACTATCTCACATTTTACACAACATTTGTGTCCATACTATTCTACCTAGAGCAGGAAGTTTTGAAAAATGCACTGATACTGACCTCCTGATCATATACCACCTGCTTCATATTAAACCACTAAATTTAAGGTACATTTTGTTCAACCATATTCGTAATGTTGAGATAAGTGGAAAAGGAACACCTTTTGGCATGGTATTGACAAAGGTCTTTAAGTTCTTCAATGTACCAATGGAGTCAAAAAATGTCTTTCTCTATCTTCAAGTCATGAAAGGAGCTAAGTTGGCTAGAATGGAAATCACCTCACCAATTCATCCTAAGAGAAACTAAAGCTACAAAACTTCATCTGAGCCATTTCCTAATAAAATAATACTTAGGAAAACCCACCATGTCACCTCTGGCAAAACCAAAAAGATCATTATCATTCAAAAGCAAAAAGATCATTATCTTTCATACACCAAAACGTCCACACTATCAAAGATACTCAACTCAATCTCTCACTACCATATGGTGAAGTTGTAAAGAATCTTTAAAAGAATTATTTTTACAAAGTGTATATCTTCAAGCGATATAAAAAGGCTTGGTTTCTCTATGTAAGCTTACTGAAGCTATATTAATCAGTATAGTAAGCCTGGTGAGGCTGAGAAAATACATAGTTGTAAAGGTGCATACAAGAAGAAAGTTTTTCAAGCATCAATAAAGAAAATCTCACAGACTGTGGAACTGGACTAACCACATTGGTGAACCAGGGTAACTCTCTTATGTGATCTCTCTTTAACTCTACTCTATTTATTTGTTCTATTGCTAATCACATTCTTAAAACACACAACACTAAATATTATTTGAGATTTACCCTAGCCTTTCTTCTCCGAGGAAACCTTAAAAAACTGTATTTTATATTAGGCTAAAAACTAAATTTTAAAAGGGTCACAATTCACCCCTTCTCGTAACACCTCTATTTACTTCATATAAATTATTAACAGTATACTAAATGTGCTAAATATTTTAATATAAATTATATGAAAATAATAATGTAATATACATAATTTTTTAATACCACTATACTTTTATAGGAAATATGAAAAAGTTAATATACTTCAATATAATTTTTAAAAAGAATTTTCTATACTCTTTTTTTATAGATAATTTGGATGGATTCATTAAAAATATAATAATATAAAAATTTAATGATTTATTATGTTTAATCATTAAATTGAATTAAAACTTTTACTCAATCATTTTATTATTATGTTAAGAATGAAAGGAATATAATATAAGGAGGGTGTTCAAGTAAAAGATTGAGCGTGTTTAGCAATTTTCTATGTTACAATTTCATTTTTTAGAATTTTTTTTATAAAATTTATAAATGTATTTAGTTAAAAATTTATAAGAATATTAAATGTTCTAAATATTTTGATATTAAGTTAATTGAAAATCATAATGTAATGTACATAATTTTTTTCATAACAATATACTTTTATAGAAATATGAAAAGTTAATACACTTTTATATAAAAAAAAATGTAAAAGAATTTTTCTTTAATTTTATTTCTTCTATTTTTTATAAATATTTTGATAGATAATTTGGATGGAATCATTAAAAATATAATAATAGATAATTTTAATGATGTTATTATGTTAAGAAAGGAATATATAAAATAAGGAGGGTGTACAAGTAAAAGATAGGGTGTGTTTAGGAATTTCTCTAACTTAGCCCATAAGAAAAGTATCAAGAAAAAGATCTGAAAGAAAAACCAAAACAAAGTCTCGCACTCATATCATTGATTCAGAGAAGAACACATAACAACAATCGATAATTACGAAGAAAAAAAAAATCAGAAAGCACCGATTTTGATTGAGAGATGGCATTGCAGTGGATGATACTCACCTATGTGGTGGCTATTGAAGCTGCTATAGCGATTCTTCTAACCCTTCCATCACCAAAGCCCTTGAAGAACCGTTTGACTTCCCTGATTTCACTCATTCTTCAACCTGCGCTTTTCATTGTTCCCTTTGCTGGGTTTCAGCTCCTTGGTATGAATTTCTTGTTTTTTTTATGGTTTTTTATAATGGGTGTTCTTAAAAAATCTTTCCCTTTTCACTTTTTGGTTTATGGGTTGTTGTGAATTGTTCAAATTGATTAACTTTTAGGGGTTTAGGGATGATTAATCATCTGGGTATGTGGTTGATAGTGGGAGTTTTGAATCTGATTTGGGATGGATTTTGTTATGGCTAGATTCTGAAGGTCAAAAGGAGGGGTTTTTTCGTCTTTTTATTTGTTGGTATTGTGTGCTATTAACTCATTTTCTTAGAAGACCCATATTCCATAGGGTACTTGTGTGGATCTAATGGCGGTGATCTTGAAGTTGGGTTTGTGTATTGTGAATTTAGTTTAAATATGCTGCTGATAAAGTTTAGTTGATGGCTAATGATTATAACAAATGCATTAACTCTTCATTGAATACAATTAATTAACTATGTTTTGAACATCGTTAATCATGATTTAAACTGCAATAACCATCAATGTATTTCCTAGCATTGTAAAAAAAATCAATGTGTTTCTCGGTTTTCCCTTCTACACAACTGGAATTGCTTGCCATTGTCGTTTTCGAATTTCAATGCTAAACGCAACACAGCCACTTTTTTTCAACTCAAACTTAGCTTTTTATAACGAATGACGTTAGTAATAAGAAACCAAAATTACATTACATTACATGGATCTTACATTAACCACACTTAAGCTTTTGTTGTTGTTTGTTTGCAGATATATACTGGAAGAATGAGCATAGGTTGTCGTGTACCTCCGATGTTTGTACAGCTGCTGAGAGAGATCGATATGAGAAAACTGTAAGTAGTTTTTCTGATGTCAAAGTAGCTTATTTGAAGAATTTATAGTTTGCATTGTAAATTGATCATTGCCAATATACTGTTTGTGCTTACAAAACCAAGAGACGCAGAGGTATATATACCGACACACACGGTGTTTGGATAAACAACTTAATGAAGCAATTATATTATAAACATTTATCGAATAAATGCTTATGTAAAAGTCATTTTCTATAACAAAATATAACATAAAGTCAAACTGTTTTATTTTCGTTAACTATCCTCTCCTTAAAATACATTATGTTATTGGTTATTGATTCATTGACCATTAATTTCTTTTCTTTTCTCAGACATACAAAGCTCAGAGAAACGTGATACTGTGTATTTCAGCATGCCTTCTCTACTGGTAAAGTGAATTCCCGTATCTTTCTCGAATTTTTCGGTCCTACACTCACTTTCCAGTTCCTATATTACAAAACTACACTTTTCTTTCGTGTTGTAATTTGTAGGAACTGAAAAGTTCGTGCAGAGACTAAAAATCAAAACATGTATATATTATAGGAATTTAAAACATGTTTAACCCTAAAATGAACGTTGTGGCGACAGGTCTATTTTCCGGATTTGCAAGTTTCAGAAAGATATCCAAAGTATGGAGGAAGTTGAGAAGAGAATCAAGTCTAAGTAGAAGAAGCTTATTTTCACAATCTATGTTGTCGTGGTTAGTGTAAGAGAGAGCTTTTGAGAGATGTTTAGATGAGTCTTACTTGTATGAAGATGCGATAGTTATGTGCCAAACTTTGCTCTATGGCACACTTATCATTCTGTTCTATGTTTTCAACTTTCAGTATTTTCTTATGACTTGTGTGCAGTGTAATGATTTAGCAGCCTATATATAGGTGAAATATATTTCTATTTGCTTCTTTTTAACTTTTCATCTATCTATACATGGAGTTTATTGTGAACACAATAAACATTTGAATGAAAATTCAAAAAATATTAAGATTTTTTTTAAGTAATTGGGGTGCAGAGAGACCTGCAAGACCTTAAGGCTATGTTTGGATACGTAAAAAAGAATGGAGTGGGAATGGGATGAAACAGAGCAAAATGGAATAAAGATGATATTATATTATTTGGGTACGCCATGATGGAATAAAGTAATTTTGTTATGGAGTGTATTTCATATGATATCGCTCAATTCGATTTGTTTTTTAATCAATCTAAATGATGGAGTATAACTTTATTCTATTCCGCTCCACTCGATTTTATCATATTCCATCAATCCTAACACACCCTAAGAGTTTTCACATTGGCAGGGTTTAAGAGCATTCTCATTCATTTCAGGGTTTAAGAGCATTCTCATTCATTTCATCCAATTTGGTGGTATAAATGGGTTCTATTTAATATAATATATTATTTTACACTTTCAAATTATTTAAATCACTCAATTACATTTTCTAAATATTGATACCATTCATTTAAAATTTTAAAATGGGTTATACAAATTTCACAATATATTCCAAATTTTACATTAATATATAAAAATATTTAATTATAATAAATAAATAAAATTAAAATATATTAAACAAACACTAATAAATTATAAGAAATTACATTTAAAAAAAAATCCATAAACGTCAAAATAAACTACTAGTAGAAAATATAGTAAACATTTAAAATAACTTAGTTGTGATTATTTTCATACACAAAACGTTCTCATATATATTCTATCAAGTTTTGTTGAAGGTGTCGACGAATTTCTTTGTTGCGAACATAATGTTTTCTACGTAGGAACTTCTGAAAATCGTTATTAGATTCATCTAGTGTTGTAGCCGGGTCATTGCCTAGATGCTCATAAGAATAATCAATTTTTTTATCATATGTGTCACATTCATCTTCAACAATCATGTTGTACAATACAGTGCATGTATCCAATATACGCTTTACTACATCCAAGTGTCAAGATCGAGCGAGGTTACATATGATTGCAAATCGGGATTGAGAACTCCAAATTATTGGAGTTAACAACGAAACTCATGGATGCTCAAGAGGAAGAAGATGAAAGATGCAGGGAGAGGGGGGAGAGTGAAGAAATTTGTAACTAACTGTAACTAACTTTTCACAACTTAACAAATTCTACATTTGTTTCTAACTAATTGAATTTTCAGTTTATATACACTTCAACTGAAACTCAAATGAAAACCAACTGAAAATGAAACGAAAATACTTGAATATGAATTACAATTAACACCCCTTAATTCATATATTCAAGATTAAAAATCAACAATACGAATTTTGTCCCTCAATTCGATGAAATATTCAGTCTTGATTGCTTTGGTCAGAACATCTGCAAATTACTTTTGAGTACTACAGTGAACAATTTCAAGCACTCCATCCTGAACTTGATTGCACAGATAATGAAATTTTGTGTTAATGTGTTTGCTCCTTCCATGTAGCACTAGCTTCTTGGCAAGACTTATGGCTGATTTGTTGTCAATCATCAACCTTATTGGTTTGTGTAACTGTTTGTTGGCAGCAATTTTGATAAAACAATATTTTGATAATGTTTGCTAAATGTATTGACATTTGAAGCAAACTGTTTTAAATGATGTCAAAGCAGATGTCTTGACATCTGCCTCCTGATCTGAACGTAATTCATATCAGTTTAAGTTTTCTGTTTCCTGTTTTCATGCGCGCCATAATTCAGTTTTGTGGCTCATAGCTTGCGAAAAATATGGAGGAATATTTTTCTATTTGAATTATCCTTATGGATTATATCTTGGCCTGTTTTCATGGAAATATTCAAAAAATAGGAATATTTGTTTTTCAGCCTAAGCCCACTGTTGCGCCTTTATAAGGACTTGCTTCCTTATTCATTCAACTGCAACTTTTGAAGAAGAATACATTCTTTCTGTTTTAGAAGTCTAAGTCTTTTAATTGTCATACACTCTAGTATTGATTTAATACTTGAGTTGTTGATTATGGATTATTCATAAGCTTTTAAGTATTGAATGATTGAAGTCTTTAAAACTTATTATTTAAGTTGTTCTTCACTGTAAGTGATTGAAGGGAGTTGAGGAGGGACTCATACCTAGGTGTGTCTTAAGTAGAAGTATAGCACGGGTAGTGATTAAGTGATTAGATCGTAAACTGGTTGTTTACTGAGGGTCTATGAATTTATACTATTTAGTGGACTTGTCCCTGGCTTGGTAGCCCCCAGAATAGGTGTTATTATACACTGAACTGGGTTAACAATCCCTTGTGTTTTTACTGTTTTTACTTTTGTTGTATTTTACATTGTCCTCAGATATTTGTGTCGTGACATCTCCTTCGACATCTCATATCTGATATCAGAATTTCAATTGATATCAGAGCAGGCATCCTGCTCTATATCTGGGTGAGATCCAGGAAAGATACTTTCTGGTACTATGGACAAGGAAGGAGGATTTGTGAACCGACCATCCATTTTGGATAGAAGTAATTATGACTATTGGAAACTACGTATGATGGCCTTCTTAAAGTCTCTGGACAACAGAGCTTGGAAAACTGTTTTAAAATGATGGAAATACCCTGTCAAATTGGGAGAAAATGGAGAACCTACTTCCGAGTTAAAACCAGAAGAAGATTGGTCTAAAGAAGATGATGAAATTGCTCTTGGAAATTCTAAAGCCTTGAATGCTATATTCAATGGAATTGACAAGAACATTTTCAGATTAGTGAACACATGTGAAGTAGCTAAAGATGCATGAGGAATTCTTCAATCTACTCATGAAGGCACATCCAAAGTTAAGATGTCAAGAATTCAGTTACTCACCACAAAATTTGAGATTTTGAGAATGAAGGATGATGAAAGTATTAATGACTTCCATATGAACATTTTTGAGATTGTTAATGCATCCAGTACTTTAGGAGAGAAAATATCTGAAGACAAATTGGTGAGAAAGATGCTCAGGTCTCTTCCCAAGAGATTTGATATGAAAGTGACTGCTATAGAAGAAGCTCAAGACATTGACAAAATGAAAGTGAATGAACTTGTTGGATCCCTTCTGACATTTGAATTAAGCATCAATGAAAGATCTAAAAAGAAGAACAAAAGCATAGTCATTGTATCAAATACTGAAGATGAAGAAGAGGACTGTGATCTGGATACAGATGGAGGAATATCAAATTCCTTAGCTATGCTTGGTAGACTGTTTAACAAAGCGATAAAAAGAATGGATAGGAACAAAAGATCAAATGTCAAGAACATCTCATATGATATCCATAAGTCAAATGAGTTTGCAAAAAAAAGGGCTGAAGAAAAATCCACTCAAGGGAAGGGAATACAATGTCATGAATGTGAAGGCTTTGGTCACATTAGAGTTGAATGTCCTACATATCTTAAGAAACAGAAGAAGAATCTATATGTTACTTGGTCTGAAGAGGACTCAGAGAGTGATCTTGAAGAATCTGCCAAGTATATTAAAGCATTGACAAGAAAATATGTCTCTGATGAAGAGTCTAGTGATGGGGAACTAACCTTTGATGAGTTAGCTTCTTCATACAAAGAATTATGTCTTAGAAGTGCAGAAGTGTTCCTAGAAGGGGAGAAATAGAAAGCACTCATAACCCAGCTAAAGGCAGAAAGAAAAGAGCATTTGAAAACTATTTATAATCTGGAAAGTGAAGTGACTTCGTTGAATTAAAATCTTGATAGAGTAGTCAAATCTCTCAAGATGCTAAACAATGGGTCTGACACATTAGATGAAATTTTTCAAGCAGGAAGAGTGACAATAGACAAGAGTGGTCTAGGGTTTAATGAGAAAAAGGAACTAAATTCAGAAGAACCTTCATTAGAGTCTAAACCAAGGATGTCAAATCAAATGTCTAAACATCATGGTAAGAAATGACATCATGGAAAACATCATGGCAAGAAAAAGTTTAATCACACCAGAGGGAATTCTCAGCCCTGGAGATGTCGTCACTGTGGAAGGCCTGGTCATATAAGGATTTTCTGTTTCAAGTTGTATGGATATCCTAAAACTACTCCACTTCCCAAAATTGATCAAATTCCCCAAAATAGAAAAAAGAAGAAACATTGGGTTCCCAAGTCTAATGTTGCTAGTTTCATAGCTCATACCTCTCTCAGAGTATCAACCAAAGATGACTGGTACTTTGACAGTGGTTGTTCTAGACACATGACAGGTGTCAAGAATCTGTTGACAGATATCCAATCTCATTCCACCAGTTATGTGACTTTTGGTGATGGAGTCAAAGGTGAAATCAAAGGAGTTGGCAAGATGGAATGTTCAGGAGTCCCCAAGCTTGATGATATGTTAGTTGTTAAAGGGTTAACAACTAACCTGATAAGTATAAGCCAATTGTGTGATCAAGGATTCAAATTTAACTTCACTAAGGAAGAATGTCTTGTTTGCAATGAAAAGAATGAAGTTATTATGAAAGGAATTAGATCTAAATACAATTGTTACTTATGGGTTCCCCAAGAGTTGAACTTCTCCTCAACATGTGTTTTGGCCAAAGAAAATGAAGTTAAACTATGGCATCAAAATTGGGATACTTGCATCTGAAAGGAATGAAAAGAATTATATCTGAAGAAGTTGTGAGAGGGATTCCTAAGCTCAAGATAGAAGAAGGAAGAGCATGTGGTGACTTCCAGATTGAAAATAAAACTAAGATGTCACATCAGAA